AAGGGCAATCTCTCCCGAGCACAGGGGGGTAGGACTTGGTGTTTTCAAGTTAGGCAGCCAGTAGTAGAGCTGTGGTGCTTCCCACGGTTGGCTCTGTGTTTATGCTGAGGGGCAGGGGAGGGAAATGGTACTGGCCATTTGTTTACAGAGAGGTGTCTCTGTGAATGCTGTGTCTTATTGATGCACTCTGAGAAGAATGAATAATCTCCCCATTCTGTGCCCCAGGTGTTCTTCAAATCAGTGTTTCCATGCTGTCTGTCACTGTGTTGTTTGCCTGCCTTCTCTCCAGGAGCAGCATGGTGCCCTCCAGGCTCTATCCCAGCCAAGCCTGTTGACTTTTAAAACTCCAGGCTTTAAGCCCCACTGATTGCAAGAACTCCTGAAATTCAGCCCCTCTTGTTTTCCAAGCCAATGACTTTGGAAAAACTTTCTCCTTATGTGTTCCCTTGTGTGCTCCTCTCTCTCACCCTTCTTTATGATCATGGCTCTCTCCCCTCTGCAGCACCAGTGATCTGTTTCTCCCATGAAGCATGTCTCCACACTTCTACCTTGTTCAATATGGCCTGGTTTCTCCCTTTAGTTGTGGAGTTTGTTCTGTCAGTCTTCAGGTTGATTTCTGGAGTATTTAGGATGATTTGATAGTTATCTACTGTGTTCATGGGACCAGGTGAGCCTAGGACCATCCTACTGTGCCAGCATCTTCCTCTGTCTGTGGGTCTGTTGAGAGTTTTATCACGAATGTTAGATTTTGTTGAAAGCTTTCTTTACATCTATTGATATGATCATGTGATTTTTTTTTTTTTTAGTCTGTTCATGTGATGGGTCACATTAATTTATTTTCAAAGTCTGAACCAGCCTTTTGTACCTGGGATAAATCCCATTTTGTTATGGTGAATAATTCTTTTTATATATTCTTGGATTCAATTGCTGTTATTTTGTGAGGATTTTTACATCTATGTTCATGAGAGATACTGGTCTGCAGTTTTCTTTTTTTGTAATGTCTTGTCTGGTTTTGGTGTTAGGGTAATATTGACCTCAGAATGATTTAGGAAGTAATCCTTCTGCATTTATCTTCTGAAAGACATTATAGAGAATGCGAACAATTTCTTCCTCAATTGTTTGGTAGAATTCACCAGTGAATCCATTTGGGCCTGGTGCTTTCTGTTTTTGAAGGTTATGAATTATTGACTCAATTTGATTTTTACATTTATACCTATTCAGATTGTCTACTTCATCTTGTATTAGTTTTGGCATATTGTATCTTTCAAAGAATTATTCCATTTCATCTAGTTATCAAATCTGTGGGCATAGTTGTTTATAGTATTATTTTATTATTTTTAATATTTATGCAATATGTAGTGCTGTCCCCTCTTTCATTTCTGATATTAGTAATTTATGTCTTCTGTTTTTTTTCTTAGTTAGCCTAGCTAGAGGGCTTATTTATATTATTGATATTTAAAAAATATCTTTTGGTTTTGTTGATTTTCTATATTGATTCCCTGTTTTCAATTTCATTGAGTTCTGCTCTCTTGTTATTTTTCTTTTTCTGCTTCCTTTGGGTTTAATTTGTTCTTTTTCTAGTTTCTTAAGCTGAAACTTAGATTTTTGGTTTCAGATCTTTCTTCTTTTCTAATATATACATTAATTTCTATAAATTTCTGTCTGAGCACTGCTTTTGTTGCATCCCATAAATTTTTATAGTCTGTGTTTTCATTTTCATTTAGTTAAAATACTTTTAAATTTTTCTTGAAAGTTCTTCTTTGACCTATCTATTAGAAGTGTGTTGTTTAATCTTCATATATTTTGGGATTTTTCTAATTACCTTTCTGTTAATCAATTTCTAGTTTAATACTTTTGTTATTTGAGAGTAGACATTGTATGATTTCTATTCTTTTAAGTGTTAGGGTATATTTTATGGCCCAAAATGTGGTCTATCTTGGTGAATGTTCCATGTGAGCTTGAATAGAAGGTAATATTTTTTTAAAGATTTTATTTATTTATTTATTTGAGAGAGCGAGAATGAGAAGAGAGAGCACATGAGAGGGGGGAGGGTCAGAGGGAGAAGCAGACTCCCCCCTGAGCAGGGAGCCCGGTGCGGGACTCGATCCTGGGACTCCAGGATCATGACCTGAGCCGAAGGCAGTCACTTAACCAACTGAGCCACCCAGGCGCCCAGAAGGTAATATTTCTTAATAATGCAAGTCCAGGAGTCCCTTGTGGAAAAAATTGACAAGTATCACTTTTTGCCTGTCCTTTAAGTGACAAACTATGATACATTTGTAGCAAATTATAGCTTACTACTAATCTGAATAAGAGAAAAACATTAACCTCATTAGGAATTGGCCAGAATATAAAAAAATAATTCATACTATAAGAATTGCAGTAAGAACTAGGCAGAAGTAATCAACCTTATAATATTATAAAAATAATTATCAGTATAATTTGAAATATAAATGAGAACTTCCATTTTTACTACTCATATTGGCAAAGATATAGAAATTAGGTATTAACTATACCAGCCATAGTGTGGGGAAGAATATTCTCACACCTTCCTGGTAGGCAGGGTGAATTGGTAGGTACTGCCTCAATAGGGGTCAATTGGAAATTTCTTTACAAATATAAAATTCAGGTAGGACTACATCAAACTAAAAAGCTTCTGCATAGTAATGGAAACAGTTGATAAAATGAAAAGGCGATGTATGGAATGAGAAAAAATATTTGCAAACCATATATCTGATAAGCCATTAATATCCAAAATATATAAGGATTTCTATAGCAAAAAACCCCCAAATACGCTGATTTATAAATGGGAAAAGGACCTTAGTAGACATTTTTCCAGGAAAGATATACTAATGGCCAGCTGGCATATAAAAGGTACTTAACCTCACTAATCACTAGGGAAAGTTGAAGATTGCAATGAGATATCATGTCATACCTGTTAGGATGGATTTTACCAAAAAGACAACAGATAAGTGTTGGTGAGGAAGTGGAGAAAAAGGAACATTTGTACACTGTTGGTTGAAATATAAAGTGGTACAGCCACTATGGAATACAGTGTGGAGATTTCTCAAGAAATTAAAAATTGAACTACTATATGATTCAGCAGTCCTACCTCTGGGTATATATCCTAAGAAATCAAAATCAGTATACTGAAGAGATATCTGCCCTACCGTGTTCATTTTCACTGCAACATCATTTACAATAGCCAAGTTATGGAAACAACCTAAGTGTCCACTCACCAGTGATGAGTGATGAATGGATAAAATAGATGTGAGATATCTTTATAGACATCTAAATAGATAGATAGATAGATAGATAGATAGATAGATAGATAGATAGATAGGCAGACAGTGATATATAGTGAAATATTATTCAGCCACAGAAGGAAGGAAATCCTGCCATTTGCAAACACATGGATGGTATCTAGAAGACATTATGCTAAGTGAAATTAGCCAGAGAAAAGCAAATACTGTAATGATTTCACTTATATGTGAGATAAAAAAAAAAAAAGCCCAATTCACCAAAGCAGAATAAAGTGGAGGTTACTAAGGACTGGGTTGGAGGAGAGAGGGATATGCTGGTCAAAGAGTACAGGCCCTCAGTTATAGATGAATAAATTCTGGGAATCTAATGTACATCATGCTGATTACAGTTAATCATGCTGTGTTGTGTACTTGAAATTTGCTGAAAGAGTAGACCTCGGGGCGCCTGGGTGGCTCAGTTGGTTAAGCATCTGCCTTTGGCTCAGGTCATGGTCCCAGGGTCTTGGGATCAAGCCTTGCCTTGGGCTCCCTGCTCAGCAGGAGTTGTGCTTCTTCCTCTTCCTCTGGCCCTCCCCCCTGCTTGTGCTTTCTCTCTCTCTCTTTTTCTCTCAAGTAAATAAATAAAATCTTAAAAAGAAGTAGACCTTAAGTATTCTCACCACACACACACACACAAACACACACACACACACACACAAGGTAACCATGTGAGGTGATGGATGTGTTAACTAACCCAATTGTGGTAATCATTTCACAAAGTATACATATGTCAAATCATCACGTTGTATACCTTAAACATAGAGGATCCATTTGTCAATTATACCTCAATAAGCTGAAAAATCTGTTTTAAATGAAAGAATAATGTACTACATGTTGGCTAATTGAATTTAAATAAAATAAATAAATAAATAATAAAAGAATAAAAAAACAGCAAAAGAGAAAAGGTACACAGGAGATACATATTTGATTCTTTGCTTCTCTAGAAATGTATTACACAGCCATACATTTGTGTGAATTTTGGCTGGATAAATGACTCTAGTCAAGGGTTCATTCTCAGTATTGCAAAATTTGTTACATTTTAAATTTTGTTTTGTTTCTTCATTTCAGGGCACTGTTGAGCAGGGCATTGTGTTTCTATTTTCTGGTACCTTTCACGTGACCTGCTTTCTGATTGTTGAAAATGTCAAGATCTTCTTTATATTCTTATTATTCTAAAATTTTATCCTCTGATACACTTCCAGGAGTTTACCAATTATTTATAACTTGATTTTTCAGGGGGGAAAGGGAAGCATAAGTGTACTTCTCTTTACTGAGAATGTACTATATACCAGTTAGCCGTTTAATTGGACATTCCTCTTAATTAGATTTAGTATATTTTTAAACGAGACTGGATCTTGGAATTCCGTCATTGTGCACAGGAGTTTTTATCTGCAGGAGTTGGGTTGTGTGAGGCCTGCTCATTGATTAACACTAACTCTAGTTTTCACCTACATCACTGGTATTGAGCCCAACCTGCTTGTGATCCATTTCTCTCCTTTCCTGTAAAACTCTCCTTTACTTCTCCTTTTATGTTTCTCATCTTTCCTTCTACCTTGAAGTCATTTATTTTCATTACACAAGTATAACTCAGGATTTTTGTTTCAGGGATTTGTGCTATTCAGGGATGTGTCTATAGACTTTTCTCAGGAAGAATGGGAATGCCTGGACTCAACTCAAAGGAATTTGTACAAATATGTAATGTTGGAGAATTATAGCAACCTGGTCTCAATCGGTAAGTATACCTTTCTTCAAAAAGTCTAGAGCCCTTTGGAATATTTGCTTTCCCTGAGAAGATTTTCTCAACTCCTTTCATATATCCTATGCGTTTCTTCTCCCTATTCCTAAAGACATGGTTTGAGCTTTGTAGAGTTGGGACTGTATAGCTTCATTGGGCCTAAGGCCAAAACTCCACTTTCTCTGCTTTTTTGTGGCCCTTCCAATTTATTTGCTGATCATAGGATAGGATTTGTGTCCTGGGACACCTACAACATAAAAAGTCTCCTTTCTTCTCTTATGAGTAGGTCTTTGCATTCCCAAGCCAGATGTGATCTCTTTATTGGAGCAAGGGAAGGAGCCTTGGAGTGTTTTTGATAGTGAGCTGACAAGAGGCCTGTACCTAGGTAAGTGATTGATGATTATATAAAGGAAGAGGAATGTAGGATATAAACCACATGCTCAGTAAGGAGATCACATCTTTGAGATGTTTGAAGGAATCTCCCCTCAAAGGCCTACAACTATTAAGAAAAGTAAACTCATCATGAACTTCCAAATGCCCACACCTTCACCTTCAACCTTTTTCATGTATGCATGAGTCTTTAATGACCTTCTTGTTTTCTGGCACAAAAATATGTTGCAGTCTCATCTTGTATTTTTCTTTCCCCCAACTTGGAATTAGCCAGCTCATTAAGAAGCCTTATTTTCTGGGCGCCTGGGTGGCTCAGTTGGTTAAGCGACTGTGTTCGGCTCAGGTCATGATCCTGGAGTCCCGGGATCGAGTCCCGCATCAGGGTCCCTGCTCGGCAGGGAGTCTGCTTCTCCCTCTGACCCTCCCCCCTCTCGTGTGCTCTCTCTCTCTCTCATTCTTTCTCTCAAATAAAGAAATAAAATCTTAAAAAAAAAGAAGCCCTATTTTCTTTTAATAGGGAATGGTGTTCATTGACCAATATCAGTGTTCAGTGCACTCATTGCTACTGGATTTTCATTGCTTTTATATCCATTAAGTACAAAGAGACAGGGAACATATATTTTATAAGTGAATCATACTAATAACTGTAATTGAAGTCCAAAAGACAAGATTCTGTCTCACTTTTCTAAATCTCGGTTTTGTAACTTTTTCTTGACAGTGGAAAACCCTATTTCCCACAACACGAGTATATTTGTTCAAGCCTTCTGTTCCAAATGCCACAGAATACTTTCAAAATTAGAATACCAGCACAACTACTGACTGAAAAACCTACCTGAAGTCATGTTCGAGGTTTATTACAGTTTCCTTTTCCTTTTTCCCTTAGAATAGGTTACACCAAGGATTTCCAGGGTACAGTTCATAAAGTTGCTAGATTAATTCTTTTTTGTGCATTTTCAACTTAATATACCATTTATCTTTTTTAAAAGTCATATTAAGTATTATGACCTATTTTTTTAAAAGATTTTATTTTATTTATTTGACAGAGAGATAGAGAGAGAGCACAAGTAGGCAGAGTGGCAGGCAGAGGGAGAGGGGGAAGCAGGCTCTCTGCTGAGCAGGGAGCCCAATGTGGGGTTAGATCCCAGGACCCTAGGATCATGACCTGAGCTGAAGCTAGCTGCTTAACCAACTGAGCCACCCAGGTGCCCTTAATACACCGTTTATCTTAACTGTTAAGTTTAGATTATTTTTAGTTTATAATTGGAATATATAAAACATTTATATGCTTTAAAAGTCAATATAAAAATATACTGAGAGAAGTTATGTTTGCAACCCTATCTGCTTCATTCATTGCTATCCTCACTCTAGGTATTGGGGGGGGTGTTGAGGTAGTCTGATTAATCCTTTCTGCCTTTATTTTTTCAGAAATAGAGCATGTTCACATTTATATTTCCAATTCTCCTTCCCTCTTGTACATGGGATAGTATTCTCTCTGCACTCTTTTTTTCTTTTTAAGATTTTATTATTTATTTGACAGAGAGAGACACAGCGAGAGAGGGAACACAAGCAGTGGGGAGTGGGAGAGGGAGAAGCAGGCTTCCCGCGGAGCAGGGAGCCCGATGCGGGGCTCGATCCCAGGACCCTGGGATCATGACCTGAGCCGAAGGCGGACGCTTAACAACTGAGCCACCCAGGCACCCTCTCTGCACTCTTTTTTACTGTCCTGTTTTTTTTTTTTTTCTTTTTTGATAGAGAGAGAGAGAGAAAGAGAGAGAGCGCATGTACGCGCACGCATGCAAGTAGGGGGAGGGGCAGAGGGAGAGAGAAAATCTTAAGCAAGTTCCACTCAATGTGGAGTCTGATGCCGGGCTCCATTTAATGACCCTGAGATTGTGATCTAAGCCAAAATCGAGTCGGATGCTCAACTGACTGAGCCACCCAGGCACCCCATTCTGGTTTTCTTTTAGTAATTATTAAAAAAAAATTTATTTTATTCATTTGAGACCCAAAGATACAGAGAGAGAGATAGCATGAGCAGGGAGAGAGGCAGAGGGAGAAGCAGGCTCCCTGCTGAGCCAGGAGCCCGATGTGGGGCTCGATCCCAGGACCCTGGGATCATGACCTGAGCCGAAGGCAGACTCTTAACCATCAGAGCCACCCAGGTGCCCCCCTTTTAGTAATTATTAACAAGTTTTTGTGGAAATCATTCCATATAGATATGTTGGCAAAAATTGAAAAGGTGTATCAAATTGACTTATCTTTCTTGGTGTTATATGTTGATTTTTGCCATAACTCATTAATTACTGGAATTGTTAATAGTAAAGTTTCCAAGCAGACAGTCACAAAATTTGTAAATATTTTCAGTTTTGTTTCCTGCTTTTCTGTGCTTGCAACTTTGATACTCCTTTTAGTCTTATCACTGTGGCTGTACCGTTCAGCAGGTGTTCAATAGAAATAGCACTACTGTGTGTTTTTGTCTTTTTTCATGATTTTTATGGACATGACTTTTTCTTTTTTTAAAAAAATTTTTTAGTTTTGGAATAATTTTATATTTACCAAAAAAGTTGCAAAAATAGTATAGAGAGTTCCTATATTCCTCACCTAGTATCAATTTCCCCTACATTTTTGTGGCATATTCGAATTTACCTCATCCCCATTGTTTTAATTCCCTCCAACATAGTATATCTTTCATAAACTTCATGATTTATCCTTTCTTTGTTTTGTTTAATGTAAGCCCTTATGTATATATCTTCAAATATCTTTCTTTTATAAATGGTAGCAGCATATACATAGAGTTTACTCCTACCTTGTTCTTCTACTTTAAAAAGTCATGAAGATCATTCAATAGGAATATATAGATACATCTCATTTCTTTATACAGTTATTTAGAACTCTATTGTGTGCATTTACTATACTGAGTTCAAGTAGTATTAAGTTGGTGGCTATTTGGGTTTGTTATAGTCATTTGCTCTTACACAAATAGGTCTGTAATGGATAACCTTCTGCATAAATCTCTTCAGATTCTTTCCAGAAAGTATATGTTTGGGTTCCTAGAATTGGGATTGCTTGCTCAAGGGATAAATACTTATATAATTTTGCTAGAAACTGGCAAATATCCCCATATGGTAGTTGTACCATTTTTATTTGCTAAACTGAATGTGTGAAAGGGCTTACTTGCCTATAGCCTTCTAACAGATTAGGTTATCAGATTTTTGGGTTTTTGCCAAAGTATACTTCGAATTTATTCCAAAATTTAAGAATCATTGACTTTATCTTTTTCTGATCCCCTTCCCCCATGCCTTTCTATGTCACTTTTCAATTTCTATAGTTTATCTCTCAAGTTGCACCACCATATAAGAACTGTAAATCCTATTTACATTATAAACATTGATGTCAATGTAATTCTGCCTTTTCTAAGTTTTGTGTCTTCTCCCTCCCAAAAAAGTGAATGTTTTTATTTGTGTTTTCTTTCAGAATATAAATCTAGGTGTAAGAACAAGAAATTATCTCTGAAAAAGGATAACTATAAAATAGATTCATCCCAATGCGTTATAATGGAAGGATTTACAAAGCATGGACTTAAACAGGGATCTCAGGAAAGACATTTTAGCCAAATCTCATGTACCTCTGAAAACATGTCCCCTTTCATTCAGCAAACATCTCTCCCTCTACATCAAACATTTAATACCAAAGAGAAATCTTATGAATGCCAAAAACATAAAAATGCCTATGGACAGGACTCAAAACTTACTACACATCAAGAAGGTCATAATGGCAAGAAATTCTATGACTATAAGGAATATGGGAACGCCCTTAATAGGACTTCAAAACTTAGTTCATATCATTCAGTGCATATTGGTATGAGATCCTCTGAATGTGAGGAATGTAGGAAGTCTTTGAATAGTAACTCAGACTTTATGCAACATCAGATAATTTTTACTAGGGAAAAATCTAATGAATTTAAGAAAAGTGGGAAGGCCTTTACTAATGCCTCACAGTTTTTCCTACATCATAGCATTCATACAAGTGAGAAACACTTTAAATGTAAGGAATGTGTTAGAGAATTTAGTAATGGTACAGCCCTTATTCGTCATCAGAGGATTCATACCGGTGAAAAACCTTATGAGTGTAATGAGTGTGGAAAGGCTTTTAGTACTAGTTCAATATTTAGAGTACATCAGAGGATTCACACAGGTGAGAAACCCAATGAATGTAAAGAATGTGGAAAAGCCTTTCGTCATTCCTCATACCTTACTCAACACCAAAGAATTCACACTGGTGAGAAACCTTATAAATGTAAGTATTGTGTTAGAGCATTTAGTAATGTTTCAGCCTTTATTCGGCATCAGAGGATTCATACTGGTGAGAAACCCTACAAATGTAAGGAATGTGGAAGAGCCTTTAGTACTGGCTCAATACTTACAGCACATCAGAGAATTCACTCAGGTGAGAAACCCTATTTATGTAAGGAATGTGGGAAAGCCTTTCGTCAGTCTTCAGACCTTACTCAACATCAGAGAATTCATACTGGTGAGAAACCCTATGAGTGTAAGGAATGTGGAAGGGCCTTTCGTCGTTCATCAGAACTTTCTCGACACAAGTTAATTCATGCTGATGAGAAATTGTATGAATGTAAGGAATGTGGAAAGATCTTGAGTAGAGATTCAATACTTATACAACATCAGAAAATTCACACTGGTGAGAAAGCCTGGGAATGTAATGAATGTGGGAGAGTTTTTACTTGTGCAACATACCTGACCCGGCATCAGCGAATTCATACTGGTGATAAACCATATACTTGTAACAAATGTGGAAAAGCCTTTCTTCGTTCTTCAGACCTTATTCTGCATCAAAGAATTCATACTGGTGAGAAACCCTATGAGTGTAAGGAATGTGGGAAGGCTTTTGCAAGAGGCTCAAATCTTAATCGCCATCAAAAAGTTCATAATGGTAAGAAATAGTATGAAAGGAAGCTTTGTAAGACCTTTAAGCATGTCTTTCAGGTAACATGACATGAAAGAGAAACCCTAGAAATGTAATAGGAGAAATCCTAAGAATTTATTGGTAAGAAAATATAGAAATATAATTAATATGAGAATGACTTATGTGTTTCACAATTTAACTACCATAAGAATAAAATGAATATTGGAAGGCCTCTATCAATAGCTCATTCCTTTCTAAATTTTAAAAACTTTCTAATCATGAGTGGAGAAAAGTGAAAAATATTTTTTGTTGCATTTTTCATATTTTAAAATACTTTAAATCCACTTTATTTTTTATATAGCTGTAAGTAGTTTGGTTTATGCATAGCTAAAATACTATCTTATTATGTTGTACATTAAATTTTTGAATTTATTTTGTTCTCACCAAAACTCTTATTACAGCACAGCTTATTCAGTAACTATTTTCTGAAGCTATTTATGCACAGTTTTGTGACATTTTATATTTTTAATGTTATAAGCTTGGATATAATGAGTCTTTTTACACCCCAACATCCAATTTGGAAACTCTTTACTTGATCTTTTTATAATAAATTTGTACCTGCATATCTTTGCATCTGTACCATTTTACTTATTTATTTATTTTTAAAGATTTTATTTATTTATTTGACAGAGAGAGAGACAGTGAGAGAGGGAACACAAGCAGGGGGAGTGGGAGAGGGAGAAGCAGGCTTCCCATGGAACAGGGAGCCCGATGCGGGGCTCGATCCCAGGACCCTGAGATCATGACCTGAGCCGAAGGCAGACGCTTAATGACTGAGCCACCCAGGTGCCCCTGTACCATTTTATTTAAAATATCATTACTTTAAAGGGTGCCTGACTGGCTCAGTCAGAGGAGCATGCAACTCTTGATCTCGGGGTTGTGAGTTTGAGCCCCCATGTTGGGTGAAGACTTAAAAATAAAATCTTTTAAAAATAAAATATCATTACTTTAAGATATATATTTTAATATTGATAAAGTGATTATTTGTATATATAAATTAATATTTTTATTTCATAAATGTGATATTTTATTGTAATAATTTTCTCTAAATGTTTAAATTCTACAAAGAAGCCAATAAAGCTAGCTTTCATCCCCCAAAGGGGCTATAACTATTATCAAATTGTTGGAACAAATCCTTTTATAATTTTTTAAAGCAAATGTAATCATATTATTCAAATTGTCTCATAAATTGTCTTTTTAATGACAAGATATGTCATATAGGACATTCCGTGTGATTAAGTGCATTAATAATGTTAATATATATGACTGTACCATTATTTTTACCAAACATCTATGGTCAAATAATGTGACTGGCTCCACTTTTTTTGTTTGTAAGGAATGCCATGTTTAGCATCCTACTTGGCACACTGTTCTTGGTTGTCTTCTCTTCATTGTTTTTGAAATCTCTGCATACCTTTTGACATGTACATATTTTAAACATGACAGATTAAACTGGCTTCCTTTTTGACCATACTCTACTATGCCATTTTTCTCTCCTTGCCTCCATGTTACTTATCCTTGTGGAGTTTTTCCTAATGATTTTGCCCAAATATAATGTAGGGACATTTAATTTTTTAAAAATAATTCATTTCCATTTCAACATATTTATATTAAAAACACATTCCTATATGTTATACTTTATGTGAAATGGGCATGGCTATATTCACTAGCATACGTGGGTTTGGTAAGGATCAAATGAGTTAATTTACACAGATGCTTATAATTAAGACTTTAACATGCTCAGTAAATATAATCCATTATCAAAATTATTTTTTTCCTTTGGCTATTTTATTATTTATGGAATGGCTCTTAACTATGGTGTATATTTTATTTAATATCAGCAATTTAATATTGGAGAAGAATGTTAAGCCTCTAGTGAATATAGCAAAGTCATCATCATTCATTCCTTCTTGGTCATGAGATGATCCATCCTGAAGAACAAAAACCATAAAAATATAATGAATAATGCCTTTATTCGTATCTAACCTAATATGTTGAATCCTAAAATTTATGTCAGCATGAAACATTATTGAGAATATTATTGCCCACATTATCTGACTGATTAAAAAATAATATTGGATTGTAGGAACATCTGACTCTTGATCCAATGCATGTTTAAGCCAACATTTGGCTAAGGATGAAGTATGAACAAACTGCAGTTTTTTTGAATATAAAGTTTGCTGAGTATCCTATGCAGCAAAACCTGTGGGAGGTGGGCAGAATTATTCACAGAACTTATAACTCTAAATCCAGACATGTAAAAAAATAAAAATAAAAAAATAAATCCAGACGTGTATTACAATAATTAATACTTGAAATCTGGCACTGGTGCTACAGGGATATAGAGGAAGCTTCCATGTATCTGGGACTCAGACTGCCTCTAGAGTGGGGTTTAGCTTGGCTAGTGCTGATGTCTCTGCGGAGGTTTGATACAGGTGGATCTGAGAAGTTTGGAACAACTGTGAACTAGAATCAACAGCTTCTACTGGGAACTATGGCCACTAATAGGGCTTATCACTTTTCTATTGCTGCCTAAGAAATTGCCACAATTTTGGCAGCTTAAAGCAATACACAATTATTATCTCAAAGTTTTCATGGGTACATGTGAAGGCCTGGCTTAGCTGGGTCCTTTGCTCAGGGTCTTACAAGGTGGCAGTTGAGGTGTCAGTTGGGGATGGTGTCTCACCAAAGGCCCAGTGTCATCCTCCAAATTTACATGTTTGTTGGCAGAATTAAGTTCCTTGAAGCGGTAGTAATGTTGGCTTGTTTCTTCAAGGGCAGCAGAAGATATTTTTACTTCTGTCTCTGACCTATAGATCTTTTAAAAGGCACATCTCTCAGATCCTGCCCATTCAGGATAATCTCCCTTTTGACTCACTTTAAACTGTTTAGGGACCTTGATTATATCTGCCAAAATCCTTCACCTTTGCCATATAACTTAACATTATGGAAATGATATACCATCATACCATCATTTTTGCCACATTTTATTCATTAGGAGCAGTGTAACAATGGATCGTGGATCACCACATCAAAAACTAATGATGTATTGTATGGTGACTAACATAACATAATAAAATTAAAAAAAAAGAGGGCACGTTCTGCATGGAGCACTGGGTGTTATACACAAACAATGAATCATGGAACACTACATCAAAAACTAATGATGTAATGTATGGTGATTAACATAAGATAATATAATAATAAAAATATATATACATATACATATATATATATATATAAAGAAGCAGTGTATGGAGATGTTAGGGTTGAAGTACGGAGATAAGATACTAACTACTTCAGTGGCCTCATTGCTTGTTTTTGAGGCAAGAGGAAAGCAACCAGCTTTTCCTTCGTGAAGGTGGGAATACACCACACAAAACAACAATTTTTCTTACTGGGTTCCTTGGTTCTTGTCCCAGATGCACCAAAGAATTGGGAAACCTGAGACCAGAATGGGGAGATAGAGTTTATTGAGTAGATAAGGGTAGTACACTCAAGAGAGAAAGCGGGCTAGTGCCGGAGCAAGAGTGGCAATTGCCCCAAGAAGCTCTAGCTGCATCCTTTTAAGCCTGTTTTCTGCATAGGTAAATTTGGCTTTGATTGACATTTTTGATTGACAGCTGGTGGTTATAGAACATTTTGGCTTCTGTGCATGTGCCTACCCATGATGCAGTCTGTCATAATTGTATTTATTTATAATTGTATTTATTTACAAATGTATGAGTTTCTAGTGAGCTTTTGCTGTGAACTTAAAGTACTTAATGGAAAGTTGCACCTTTTGTGCTCATGCTCAGTTCTTGGATGTCCCCTTGTGGCTTTTGAGCCAGCTCTGTGGCTAGGCCTTTTCTGTTTTGTTAGCCCTTGGTGGTGGCTCTGAAGGTGTGGCTGTTAACTCTTCGGGGTGGCTCCAAGGGTGTGCCCAGCATCTGCTTTATCCCTACTTGCTCATGCCTAACCAATTGCCTAACACTTTTAAGTAATTCTTTATCTCAAAGACAGTCCCACTTTTCATCATCTTTGACATCTTTACTCTTCAGTGTCCAATACATTAACCAGAAGACACATGTAGTTATTTAAATTTAGATTTAAAGTAATAAAATTTAAAATTCATTTTCTCTGTCTCATAGGCACATTTCAAGTGCTCAACAGCTGCATACAGCCAGTGGCCATTGTATTGGGCAGCATATTATAGAACATTTCTGTTGTTGCAAGAAATTATACCACACAGTCCTATGACATAAATAACCTTTCAGTTATTGAATTATAGGAGAAAACTTGGCGTTCATTGGCTCTTTTGTATACCCTGCAGTGATATCCACAGACAGAGTTGGCACCAGTTACTTTGTGGCTTCATCTAGATCCAGGAGAAAAAAAGTTGTATTTTATCACCCTTTTGCACATTAAACTATGATGAGAGACCAATCTGAAGTTGCCTTGGTAGAAAATTAACATAGAGAAGTCAACAAACTCATGTACAAATATTCTTTTTTTTAATTTTTAAAAATATTTTATTTTTGCGAGAGAGAGACAGAGAGAGAGAGCATGAGGGAGGGGGTGGAGGGCAGAGGAAGAAGCAGACTCCCCACCTAGCAGATGTGAACTCTGGGATCATGACCTGAGCCAAAGGCAGACGCTTAACTGACTGAGCCACCCCGATGCCCTCATGTACAAATATTCTTTTTTTTTTTTTTTTTAAGATTTTATTTATTTATTTGACAGAGAGAGACACAGTGAGAGCAGGAACACAAGCAGGGGGAGTGGGAGAGGGAGAAGCAGGCCCCCCGCCGAGCAGGGAGCCGATGTGGGGCTAGATCCCAGGACCCCGGGATCATGACCTGAGCGGAAGGCAGACGCTTAACGACTGAGCCACCCAGGCGCCCCATGTACAAATATTCTTAAAAAATAGAAGATCCAACAGAAAAAAAAAGTGCTTTTATGGTAATCACAAAAAAAAGCTATCAAGAAATAAAATTAAATAGAAATGTCCATAAACATTATGGAAAAATAAATAAAAATTTTCCAAAGCAATCAGGAAATGAAAAAATAAAAGGGTATAACATCTGGGATTGCAGTACTGACATCATTAAAAAAATCATAATTCCTTAGGTTATAAATGTGATGCTATCTCAATTAAAAATACCCAGGATTTTTTTTAGACATATGAGCTAATTCTAAAGTCTATATGGAAAAATAAATCAGAATAACCAGTACAATTCTGAAAGAGGAGAAGAATTGGATAATTAGAACCATCAGATATTAAGACATACTATAACTATAATAATTAGGAGTATAGCTCTAGCAAAAATATAATAGAACACTAGAACTACTTAAAAGTCCAGCTATAGGGGCGCCTGGGTGGCTCAGTTGGTTAAGCGACTGCCTTCGGCTCAGGTCATGATCCTGGAGTCCTGGGATCGAGTCCCACATCGGGCTCTCTGCTCAGCAGGGAGTCTGCTTCTCCCTCTGACCCTCTTCCCTCTTGTGCCCTCCATCTCTCATTCTCTCTCTCTTTCAAATAAATAAAATCTTTAAAAATAAAAAAATAAAAGTCCAGCTATAGATCCAAACACATAGGAAAGATAGTATATGATAATGAAGGCATTTTGGATCATTTAATACCCTTTGAATCTTGAGGAGTTGGATGTATTATATGTATATGTTACGTATAGGTTTTTCAACAAATGTTTTTAGTAGCCACATGGCAAAGATAGGACAAATCTGTATCTATATTTATTCAAACAGTCTGAAAGCGTCACTCCATAGTTCACTCAAAAACAAAAAGAGAAGATATAGCTTTAAATAGGACTGTTGACTACAGCCTTAAGGAAATAAATTAACATTAGGAATGGGAAAAAGTGACATCAAGTGGCCTCTGATACGATACACTAAGAAGGACACAATATCACCTATGGAGTATTCTTGTCAAAATATTTAGCCTAGGGGCCCCTGGGTGCCTCAGTCGGTTAAGCGGCTGCTTTGGGCTCAGGCCATGATCCCAGCATCCTGGGATCAAGCCCCGCATCGGGCTCCTTGCTCAGCAGAGAGCCTGCTTCTCCCTCTCCCTCTGCCTGCCTACCGCTCCCCCTGCTTATGCTCTCTCTCTCACCATCCCTGTCTCTGGGTCAAATAAATAAAAATAAAATTTAAAAAACATTTAGCCTGAAGTTCAACAAGCCTTATATAATTTATTTTTTATTTAGCCAATGCAAAAATTAATCAACCACGGACAAAAATTTTAAATCTTCAAAAAAAATCAATCTTGGGTCGTAATCCGTTTCTACTCTCCGGTTGTCACTAAACTTTTTTGACTCTGGTTTTCAAAGTCCATAGAACAGAGTAATGATTCCCCAGATGGGATCGAGTGAGCCAAGGGCATTGGCAGCCTTCTGCCACTCAGGCAGTGGTCACTAAATAACATTAACTTCTGATTAGCAACAGTACTCTGGAGAACACCGACCCATCCCACAGCGCTGGTTCACCAAGGAGGGCAGTTGGCCCTAGGCACAGGCAGTAAGAGCGGGGGTGGTGCTGTCAGGGTAGAGTGCGCTCAAAGGATTCTGGAGATTGTAGTTCAGACCTCGCGAACGCCTCCCAGTCGCGCAGGCGCAGATGCAATTTGGTAAAGTGGAATCAGTTTTGTCTTTGGCCTTGTTGATACCATTGCTTGTGGCGTCTGCTGAGCTCCAATCCCTCCTTCGCACGGGAGCGCCGGACTTCTTGGGGCTGAAAGGCTCACTGGTCCGAATGGGCGTAAGCATAACCTTGCGATCGGAGGCCTTATATCCGGTAAGCTTGTGCATTTTTCGCCGCGGAGTTAGCAAGTTGGGTTCAGTTATCAGCGAGCTGCACCTTTAACGTCTGGAGGTTGATTTACGTGTGGGGGCGACCGGGATTGAGCAGCTGTGCTTCCGGGAGCCACCGCCTTCTTGAGGACAGAGGCGCCCTCGGGTGTTTGATATGAGACCTGAATTGGGGCACGTCTCTGGCTCAGGGTCTTGTCTGAGGCGGGCTTTTCTGCTGTAAGTCTAGTCTCCGGAGTCCTGCTCCTGGAGGGACAGAGGAATGCCCAGAAGCAACGTGGTGCGGGGTAGGGGGCATTCGCGCCCGCTTCTCCAGACACTGCCAGCTTCCCAGAGGCCATTCTGCTGCAGCCGGAGCCTTGGTCTCGGGCGAAATTAGTCCATTCTCTCTCCCATCGCTGTCAGTGTATCTGTGTGAAGTGGAGAGAGTTGACAATGGGGAAGCAGGGTAAGGACTGCCCTTTGAACCGGGTTGTTCTGGGAACCGAGGCCAGCGTTGGTTTGCTAGCTCTGCAGTGTCAGGACTCTGCCCTGCCCTTCTGCTCCCAGAAGGGGAGCCCTGAGGACGACTGCGCTTCGGGCAAGACTGAAAGCCATGACCCGAGGTAATGCTTCCTTTCTGCTTCCTGAAACACAATGAGCGTTTGCCTTCCTTATCTTGCCCTGTATTGGGTAGGAACATCTTTTTCAGGACTTCCTGACCATTTCCTTCCATCCCGTATACTCAGCTGTGTTGCCTAGGGGCCCCTTCCGAATGGCAACAGGTGTTCACGATTTTTTTTCTATAAATCATCTTTTTCCACGTAGGGTCAGGAATGTTGATTGAGCAGAAGTGCACAGGGAGGAAAATGAGGATATTATTTGCCAAATGAACGCGTTTTACCTGGACTATGATGTGATGAGGTCAAGTTGAGTACTTGAGTGGGAGCTCCTATCTGGAAAATCATGATCATCACAGACTGTAAGACGAAATGGGAGTTGGTGTTGTTCAGTCTTCATTTGACCTCAGCTTCTTTGTGAATCTTCATCAGTTTTCATCAGATTTTTGGCAACTCAGGGACCAGGAACATTTATTACAGTTTAGTGATGCCTGGTTACAGGTTGAATTATACCAGAGTCTAAGTAGTTTGGGAACCTTATTGTTAGAGTCCAGATCGACAGACCTGAAAGATCTTATTAGTGCCAAATACCAAAATGAGAAGAAAGATTAAGTCAACTAACTGCCTTCAATATTTATACTGGTATTTCCAATTATTCTCATTTTACTATTTGTGGAGGAATCAAGTGTAGTCATTATTCCTTGGCTTCCTTGTGTGTTGGGGTGGTAAATTAGCTTTTCCCCACTAGGGTCATAACATGATTTTTACTTAACTCTAGAGTATATGTATGTAGTTATTACTATGTAAGTATTAGAGCTGAGCCAAGTAGTATACTAAGCAGACATATTATTTCCAGAGTAATTTTTTTTTCCTGGAGCTAGTTATCTTTTTTCTTTTTTTTTTTAAGATTTTATTTATTTATCTGACAGAGAGAGACACAGCGAGAGAGGGAACACAGGCAGGGGGAGTGGGAGGGGGAGAAGCAGGCTTCCCGCTGAGCAGGGAGCCGGATGTGGGGCTCGATCCCAGGACCCTGGGATCATGCTCTGAGCCGAAGGCTCGCTTAACGACTGAGCCACCCAGGCGTCCCTGGCGCTAGTTATCTTTTAAAGTTATTTGCTCAGTTTTCCACATTTGTATTGCTAACCCATCAAAATGTGTAAACATCACTGTCACATTACTATCAATAATATTTTCCATATTGTCAACAATCATCAGTTATTTAGTTCTTCCGTACTTTTGTCTGGCTTCCTTTGTTTTACTGCTCCTGTCTCCATTGGTTGTGCTGCAGATTTGCTACACAGCTGTCATCCTGGTACTTTTCTTTCACAGTAACACTGACTCTTTTGTTCTCTTTCTCCTGTGACTCTTATTTACCATTATGCAGATGCCTAATATACCTCTGATGGTTTACTCTATAGATTTTATGGAGCACAACCAGTTACTTCCAAGCAAAGATGCATAGAAGCAGGAGGGGAATCTTTTGAACCTTTGCTTGTCTGGACTCTAAACTGGTTCTCAACCAGGAACAATTTTACTCCTACCCTCACCCGCTCCAGGGATATTTGGCAACATCTACAGATATTTTTGGTTGTCAAAGTTGGGATGAGAGTGCTACCAGCATCTAGTGGAGGTCAGAATTGTTGCTAAACATCCAACAAACAATGTACTGGACAGCACCCCCCATGACAAAAGAATTATTCAGCCCCAAATGTCAACATTGCTAAGGCTGGGAAACTCTCCTCTAAACATGTCTTTATACCATTTTCTTCATTCTAACAGTGATATTTAGA